CGGCCTCGCCATTGGAGTCGGACGAGGTTCTCATCCCACAACCGGAAGAGGTAGGTGGCACCGCCCGGCCGCAAGGACGAAGGAAGAAAATAGACTTGGACAAGGACGGCTTCTTGCAGCAAATCCAACCTATGTTGAAAAGACTTCAGCGAGCCGTTCCAAATACGTGAGTACATACTTGTCCCGGTCAGGATAGTTTGAACCCAGTTGGCCACTCCCGGTTCGTCGATGCGCACATGTTGGTGGTGAGCCGCCCGATTCCGTGTCTTGGGAAGTCCGATACGGATGTACAGGACATCGCCCTGAAGATGGTCGGTCTTCGGGCAAGGACAGGTCTTGCCGTCGCAGCGAGATAGATTCGGAAGGTCTCAACAAGCCGCACATCACCACTGCAGTCCTGGACCAATTCCAAGCCAGCGCACAACTGACAAGAGCCTGGACATGCGCCGGCATAGGGGGGTGATGCTTCACTGGCTCTAGGGTGTCCCAAGTGCGTATGACGTCCCACGGACCGGAAAGGCTCCCTCTCAACCAGCCACACCGTTGAGCCAGAGCGTTGAGAGTTTCGGCCGCTGAGCGACGCGACTGGCCGTCCACATACATGCTCACCACATATTCTTCCAGCCACTCTGACAAAATACTCATGTGAAAGCGTGCCAAAGTTTCCAGCGAACACATGGGCAGCTGGGGCTTCAGCCAAGTTTCCAAGCGATTGAGCAAGGTTTGTCGGAGGTTGAAAGTGTGAGTGGTAATCCGCCCTTTCTCCAGCAAGGTTCGGTCTGGAGGGCATGCTTGGGGCGGCCGCGGGGCTGTCGCAGTGGGAAGATTGCAGCAACAAATGGCTAACAAAACCCACCATCGGTTGCAGGCCCGAGGCAAGCCCTCAGCGCAATCCAAAACAGGAAGAGCGCGCTGGACATTGCCACTTTTCAAAAACCAAAACCATGGAGGTAGGGCGGCTCGAGCCGGTTCTACGGGACGTTGGCGACTCGGCGCATCAGCTCGCAAAGACCAAGTCGGGAAATGAGCCCCAGAAATGCGCAGGTTTTTACCAAGAATATACGGAGATTCGGTTCGCAACAAACCATTAAGCATGCGCGAAGGACTCCTACCCTTAGCCAAGGCACCAAGGTTCACCCTACTATCTTGACAAATGACAACCCGTCTGTCACGAGGAAGGCGTTTCACCAAACTTTTCCGAGCTTTAGACTCTTGCAGATTTATGTGTTGCACATCTTTAAACTTATACTGCGTCCACGTGTTCCAAGTCAAGGCTTCTGACAGTTGCACTGCCCACAAAGGTGCTCCAGGTCTGCGTTTCCCGTTGCGCGATCTAACCACACACTCTGAAAGGCATTGGAAGCGTTGCAGAACTGCGGGACCACTTGGCCCGTGAAGTTCCGAAGGGGTGTTGTCAGGAAAGAGGTTCAGTTCGGAAGCATCCACTTCCTCAAGGTGGTTTTGGGACCCCTGCTCCCCACCCCCGCCTTCCAACCCCCACTCCCACAACAGATGGGCAGCGGCGTCGCAGAATCGACGGGGATACGCACTTGCACCGAGCGTGTTGCGACTTTTCTCCACAATCTGGGTTTGGAAGTGAAATTTCTTACCAAGGTTTCTAAGGGCCGGGTGATTAGTAGTCAAGCGGGAGGTACGTCGGAGGCTTTCGCCCAAGTGATAGCAGCAAAACATAGTCTGGAAAACACCATGTTGTATGCTAAACTTTTTCCAACAAGGCAAAAACCTCATGAGACTCCGTGCAAATTCTTCGTGCCCGAAAAACCCACCCCTAGCATGTTGAACCCAACACAACAAACAAGCTTGCGTCGCGTGTAAGTTTCCAGTCATCGTCTCATGGTTCAAGGGGTCAAACCCCCTGGTGTGAACCGATCGAAGAGGAGGGGGCCCAACGAAAGCGACGGTTTTTCCAGGGAAACCCACACCATTTTCACTTTTCCTAATTGAACCAACCCCAACACAGTGAAAAACAGTCGCTGCTCTTTCAGATCAAAACCTTCTTTGAGATCCAGCGGCGGTAGCGCTCTGAACCCTTTTTTGGCCATACTAGCTGACAGTGCACCACAGCCAGTGAGAGTAGACTTCTATGAAGTCAAACACCCCCTCACTCACTGTTGCCGGGACGGAAATAGACACCAGACCAGCTTCCCTGGCCCAGCCCCATATACACTCCCACACAGTGAAGGTCCGAGGATTGCAAACATTGTCGAATTCGAATGCGTCAGATTCCTCTGATTCTGATTTGCCGGACTCGTCCAAAACTCTTCATCAAAGCCGCTACCTTTCAAACTGGCGGCAAGGCGAGACAACAAAGGGGCCCTGAAGCCCAGCTTGTCACCTCTTCTCCAAATTTCTTTGGAAACAGTCTCTCCAACAAAAGACCGGCAAGCCCGGCTCCAGAGGGTGAGGCATCCACGCAATACAAAAAAGGATCCGGCTCGGCTGTACAGTCTGTAATGCACAACGGAGCCAAACACGCAAGAACCAACAATTCATTTCTAGCTTCCCTTGTAAGTCGGGTGGCCAGCCCGCCAGGTGTTTGCTGACGGTACAGGTCGTATAAAAAGCTAAACATTGGTCTTCGAAACTGTGCGCAAAATGCCCACAAACCAGTGATAGCTTCTAAAATCTTCTGATCAACCGCTCCTGGAGACGCCACTGACACTGACACCTGAGCAAGCTTGATCAAACGAGCTCGCACTGGACCCACCAAACCTCGAAGACTTTCGACTTCAGCTCCCCACACTTTGGTTCGGGTAGCTCTACGCTTCTCTTTCTTTTCATGAGCCTCGAGGTTCGCGTGCTTGTAGGCATCTCTAGCCAGCCTCATGAAGGCTTCCTGATCGCGGCCTGGTTGTTGAAGGGTCCTCTGCAGCGATCCTTTCCAGTGTAATAGTTGCACACCTAGATGGCGGAATCCAGTCCTCGAAGTTGCACCTGGAGATGCGGCGAGGCGATGTAGTCCAAGAAGGTGGGGGAAAGGAAACGAGTACGAAGGAGTAACGTGGTAAGGGTCAATAGGCCATGTACATGAAGAACCTCTCGATGTAGAATGGCTTGGGCCCTCATCGGGACGCCCTCGAACCGGAGCGAGACCAGCAGGGGAAGGATTCATGGCAGGAAGGAGGATCGGATCACCTGAGATGCTGAGGCTCCAACAGGTTCCAATGAACCTCAAAAGTACTTCGGTCGCTCTGACCACGTTGAGGCGTTAAGCCAGCTTGGACCGCTGCGGTCACGTAAAGGCATGAGCCAACTTGGAATTCCAAAAATGGGACAAAAATCATAGTTCTTTCGGCCTAGGCCACCTACGCCCGCTCTGGGCACTTACATCTCCGGGCAGGGGAGATAACGACAAACCCCCGTTCAACAGGTCCACGGGAGGCACTCTGCGGGCTCATCCCGGGTTGGCACGAGGCCAAACACACTTATGGATATGCATACGGAACTGATAGCGGTGCCACACGCCAGCCTAAGTAAAAACCTAAGGAAAACAGGGTGTGTAAAATGAAGCGGCTCAAATCTCCACAAGGCCAAGGTCTCAGAACCTTCCAAAAGCTCCAAGGTTCCAAATTGTAACCGCGAAACGATCGAGCGACAAGGACGACGGAAGGTGCAGAGTCTGCGGATGAAGAACCGTGCAAAGGCTGGAGTGCTTGTTCTAGTTAAAAGCAGGGCCCAGGATGAAGTATCTCAAGTAAAACTGCAGGTACGTCACTGGACGTCTCCAGTGATATCAGTACCGCCACAGAAGCCCCTTCGTTGGACTGTCACTTCTGTGGGGTAGACAGTCCCCCTTCTGATTAAAACAATTCAAAAGAATCCCTGTGATTACAAGGGGTACACACACACTCTGCTGTTTTGGGCAGAAATGTAAGAAACACTGTAGAACAAACTGCAAAGAACTCGTAAACAGCATGGTGTTCGGCTTGCCGAAGTTCAAAACATTGGTATAAAAACACTACCTATTGGACTTCTTTGGTTTCCATAAAGGACAAAGTGAATGAAAACACAGGTGCTCTGATGGTGAAAAGCCTCATGATGCTTTGGAGTACCGTCGCATGCACGTGCGCGCACACGTAGAATAAGCATCAAAAATGGTGTTCTTGGCGCGCCGGCGCGCACCTCCTGCCACAGAAACAACCCTTATGCATGGCCGGTGTGCGAAACTCTACAGTGGAGGTACTTGCACAAGGCGTTTCAAGGCACTCAACGATGTGAAGGCAAAACTGATGCTGATGGAACGAAGTCTCAACACTGTTCTGCGCTCGTTTCCCATGGGCACGGGAAAAACAATATGTACAGAATCCTTGACAACAAGCACGTGCATGCATACATTGCAACAACTGTTTTAGAGCTCAAAACTTTACACAAGTGAGAGAGAGAGAGAGACAGAACAAGTCTAGGCTACTTGGTTTTCTCCTGAGGGGCAGAGAACAAAGATTTCACAGCTAGTTTATCTGTTCAGTGTCAGATTTTGAGCGCAAGTATCCAAAAATGCCGTGTTGTGCTCCAGTGAGTGTGAAGGGGGTCGGGCGCCACATGCAAGTTTGGCTACAAGGATCCTTCCTAACACAAGTGCATCACTCCACTAGAAGTGCTGGAGTCTAGCATCTAGAGCCTCTTTGGCTAGAAGCCTCAGGTGACACAGAGGGTTCAGCACTGTTGGGAAGCTTCATGAATCTTTGGACCTGCTTAGCCTTGCAAGCGGCAGATTGCTGAGCGAGGACTTGAGTAGCCTCATAAGCAAAAGGCTTTATTAGTCGAACCTGGAGAGTTTCCTTGCTCCCAGCTCCTTGCTCCCGTCTACTTTTGTTTTGGCTGTTTGCCAGTCTTTCCATTGTCAGGAGCGGAAACAAACAAGGCTCTCACACAAAGGCTCGCACGACACACGGCATAATGGCAGAACAAAAGAAAACCACCACCACATGTGTTGTGCAAGCGACATCAAAGTAGGTGACCATCGCTCTTGATCTCTGCGCCTAGAGCAATATCGATGGCAAGCCGCAGGATAGGATAATCGGTATCCGATCCCTCACCAGGGAGCACATTAGAGCCTGTGGTCATGTGCACTCAGCCGGAGTCTCAGCACAATAGTGAATGAAATACAATGAAATACATCTTTAGGCCAAGCTGCTAATCAAGGGTAGGAGGCTTTCACCACCAGTTGTGAGGGTCCTGCAGCTCATAGCACAGGATGTTTATTCTGTTTTGGTTGGCCCATCCTCTCGACTGCGTAGGTGATGGCACCCACAACACCTTGGTTGTTGGAATTGTGTTTTGGAATCGATGCTTTCTCAACCTTGGAGCGCAACCAGCTGTGAAGCAGCCCCAGTATGCAAAAGCATCGTAGGTCTGAAGAAATGGTCGCAACAAACGTGAAGCTATAAACTGCCAGACATTCAAAAGTTCAAGAGTTTTTCAAGATTCACACCTGACTCTTTGTTCGACTCCTGCCTGAGGCAACATCAGCTCCAAGGCAAAAATTACACCACCGATTGGAGCGGAGAAAGAGGCCCCAACACCTTCGTGCAGAGCCAAAAAAAAGGTGAAAAAACTAAAAACAATAAGTTACTAGAAACAAGTGCCTTACTAGTAGTAACAAGAAGCCATTAGAAACAATAAGCTACTACTAACAAGTGCCTTACTAGTAGTAACAAGAAGCTATTAGAAACAATAAGCTACTAGGAACAAATGCATCGCTCCTAGTAACAAGTGCCTTACTAGTAGTAACAAGAAGCTATTAGAAACAATAAGCTACTAGGAACAAGTGCATCGCTACTAGTAACAAGAGCCTTACTAGCAGTAACAAGAAGCTATTAGAAACAATAAGCTACTAGGAACAAGTGCACCGCTACTAGTAACAAGTGCCTTACTAGTAGTAACAAGAAGCTATTAGAAACAATAAGATACTAGGAACAAGTGCATCGCTACTAGTAACAGGTGCCTTACTAGTAGTAACAAGAAGCTATTAGAAACAATAAGCTACTAGGAACAAGTGCATCGCTACTAGCAACAAGTGCCTTACTAGTAGTAACAAGAAGCTATTAGAAACAATAAGCTACTAGGAACAAGTGCATCGCTACTAGTAACATGTGCCTTACTAGTAGTAACAAGATGCTATTAGAAACAATACGCTACTAGGAACAAGTGCATTGCTACTAGTAACAAGTGCCTTACTAGTAGTAACAAGAAGCTATTAAAAAAAAGGCTACTAGGAACAAGTGCATCGCTACTAGTAACAAGTGCCTTACTAGTAGTAACAAGAAGCTATTAGAAACAAGAAGGTGCTAGGAACAAGTGCATCGCTACTAGTAACAAGTGCCTTACTAGTAGTACCAAGAAGCTATTAGAAAAAAACTACTAGGAACAAGTGCATCGCTACTAGTAACAAGTGCCTTACTAGTAGTAACAAGAAGCTATTAGAAACAACAAGCTACTAGGAACAAGTGCATCGCTACTAGTAACAAGTGCCTTACTAGTAGTAACAAGAAGCTATTAGAAAAAAATAAGCTACTAGGAATAAGTGCATCGCTACTAGCAACAAGTGCCTTACTAGTAGTAACAAGAAGCTATTAGAAACAATAAGCTACTAGGAACAAGTGCATCGCTACTAGTAACAAGTGCCTTACTAGTAGTAACAAGAAGCTATTAGAAACAAAAAGCTACTATGAACAAGTGCATCGCTACTAGTAACAAGTGCCTTACTAGTAGTAACAAGAAGCTATTAGAAACAAAAAGCTACTAGGAACAAGTGCATCGCTACTAGTAACAAGTGCCGCACTAGTATTAACAAGAAGCTATTAGAAACAATAAGCTACTGGGAACAAGTGCATCGCTACTAGTAACAAGTGCCATACTAGTAGTAACAAGAAGCTTTTAGAAACAATAAGCTACTAGGAACAAGTGCATCGCTACTAGTAACAAGTGCCTTACTAGTAGTAACAAGAAGCTAATGGAAACAATAAGCTACTAGGAACAAGTGCATCGCTACTAGTAACAAGTGCCTTACTAGTAGTAACAAGAAGCTATTAGAAACAATAACCTACTAGGAATAAGTGCATCGCTACTAGTAACAAGTGCCTTACTAGTAGTAACAAGAAGCTATTTCAAACAATAAGCTACTAGGAACAAGTGCATCGCTACTAGTAACAAGTGCCTTACTAGTAGTGACAAGAAGCTATTAGAAACAAAAAGGTACTACGAACAAGTGCATCGCTACTAGTAACAAGTGCCTGACTAGTAGTAACAAAAAAATAAGAAACAATAAGCTACTACGAACAAGTGCATCGCTACTAGTAACAAGCGCCTTACTAGTAGTAACAAGAAGCTAGTAGAAACACAAAGCTACTAGGAACAAGTGCATCGCTACTAGCAACAAGTGCCTTACTAGTAGTAACGAGAAGCTATTAGAAACAATAAGCTACTAGGAACAAGTGCGTCGCTACTAGCAACAAGTGCCTTACTAGTAGTAATGCGGACAGGTTCCTTTTTGACCTGAAAGGGGGTCTGCAGTCGGATGGATAGAGTGGCTTCAATTTCACACTCCTCCTTTGGCATTGGTAGCCAAATGACGTTGGATCCTATGCCAACTTAGAATGGCAGGCTGGCTGAGTCCATGAAGGGAAAATGTACGTCCATCATCTTGTATACTTCTAGCTTCCTCTCGTGGTTTCCCTCCCGGTCAGCCTTCGCCCACTCATCATGTAATTTCAGCATGTGTTGCTTTGCCCTGAGACCTGATCGTGCCTCTGGGCCATCAAACTCAGCTAGAGCATTAAACTCATCCTTCGTGATCCAGGAACTTGTTGCCTGTCCCACTGTTGGATCTTCGATCCTTGACTCCGGAACTGGCAGATCTTCTTCTGCCCACTCAACTTGCTCTGGCTGCTCAGTTACATCCATTTCTGCCGTAGGCGCATCTTCCTCACTCTCAGGCTCACGAGTCTCGATGAATCGGATAGGAATCTCGACCACTTCACCACTGTCGAGACGAACGGTCACCGTCTCTTCACCCTCCATGGTCTCGTCCTCGGTGTTCCTGTAAGGCCTCAAGTCGATAGGCCCATCATCCTTCTCACAAGCTTCCTTGTATGCCTTGATTTGGGCATGGAGTCTCCTCCAGTCAAAGTCCCTGTTTGAGCGTTGAAGGTAGTCCCAATGCTTCCAATCCTCTTCTTTGACATCTTCACTGTCGACATATCCAGAAGCTTTCACCAATCCTCGATGAATCCTCTCGATGTAGCCCTTCATTGTTTTCATCTCTTCTCGCATGCCTTGCACATAGGCTCTTGTTGAGACACCGTTCACATATGCACTGTCTTTTGCATCTGCGATCTTCACCTTCAGCTCTTCCACCACTCGCCATAGCCACCACACAGCCAATGCGAGTCCTGTAACCATCAGCATCAGTACCATGATGAAGATCATGGTGCCATAGCCCTTCGATGGAATTTCCTCCACCACTTCTGACCTCTCTGCAGTCACCTGCTCAAGACCCCCGAAGAGGAGTATCCGGTTCAACAGCTTCGCCAACTTGTTGATCTTGATGCCGTTCACCTTGCTCTCTTCCAATCTGGCGAGCTCCTCCTCTCCAATTCTCTCGTCAGTGCTGCTTCTGGTATTGCACCAGTAGAGGATCAGAGTGATTCTGGATCTCGATAGCGGCTTCGTACCTAGGTCGGCCACATTGTAGGTGGTTCCCACAGCTTTGACTTGTAGCTCCTCCTGCGCCACTAAATCTTGGATCCACAGCAATTTGCCAGCTATGCGACGCAGCTTGCCTGGTCCCCGTCGGTGACAAAGGTGTAGTGCAGCCGAGTTATCCACGAGGCATTCATGTCTCACTGCCTCCTCCACTAAGAACTCTAGGCATCTCTTCAGGTAGATACCATCTGCGGCTGAACTCACTAAAGCATTCAATTCTGCCTCTGCTGACGACAATGCCACACTCTTCTGGCCGCGAGAGCTGCTGAAGATCATCATCCCATTCAGCATGTGGATGGCCGCGGATGTTGATCTCCTGTGACTCTTCGATCCTGACCAATCACTATCACTGAAGGTCTCTAGCAACCACCTCGACTCCACTGTGCGGCTTACCAATCCATGTCCTGGCTCAACCACCTCAAGCACGCTATACTGACCCATTGTACTCTTGAGGTACCCAACAAGTTTTCCCAGCTTCTTCAAGCTGCTGCTTGTAGGGCGCGACATCGTTGAAGCTAGTTCTTTGATGGTGTAGGAAACATCGGGCCGTTCCTGTGAAAGATATATTCCACACCCAACCAAGGAACGATAGAGGCTTGCCAACTCCGGCTTGAGTTCAACTGATCCATCAGGCTCGAGAACCTCCTGACCGCAAGGGAGTTTCTGGCTCTTCACTCTTCCCATCTGCTCCTCGTATGCCTCAACCATCTGCTCAGCATACTTGCCAGGCATCACTTTCAGCCCTTTCTCCATCTCCACGTATGTCCTCCGCAGGAATTGGAAGGAACTGTTCATGCCTGTCAGATGCTGTTCTGCTATCTCAAAGCTCTGCCTCAAGTCTGGGATGAACTTGTTCACCACATAGTCATGTTCTCCAACGAACATCACATCATCGACGTGGATCAACAGCATCATCTCTTGCCCACAACGTCCCAGACAAGGGTTGATTTGAGAGAAGATGAAACCTCTTTCTCCCAACCAGTTGGTCAAATACTCGAACCACGCCTTGGCACCGATGCGTTGCCCTGGGAGATTTCTCTTGACTTCGAAATGTCCACTGGCAGTGCTCACCTGAGTTGGGACCGCTTGAGGGACCTGCAGGAAGGCATCTTTGATATCGAGTGCTCCCAGCGTATATCGAGGTCCTCCATGCTCTTCCTCCTCCCGCTTCATCAAGTAGATTGCTGGAAGAAGTCGTAGCGCTTGTCCCCCAGTCGCTGGACTATGCACATCATCTCGGCGGTCATTTGCGTACTCACGGGCCACCAATCTTGATCTCCTGAGAAATTGCTTTGGTGCTCCGGGTTCATTTGTCCTCGGCTTAGCCCTCCAATCTCGAACGAACCTCGTCGTGAGGTCTTTGTAGCCCTCAATCTTCTTCTCCAACGGGGTGATCACTCCCAGCCTCTCGAGTCGCTTCTCCTCCACCTCATCTGCTAGATCATCGATCCACCTAGGCGGATCTGGCGGGACACGATCAAGAGGTGCATTCGACCACAAAGCCTCAGGAATCTCCAGAGATGCTTCATCCTCCTCTTCATCCTCGTAGTTCCACACGGCCAACTCCTCCTCACCGATGATGTAGTCCATGTGATAGTACGAATTCTCACCAACCTGTGTGATCTCCACTCTCCTTTCCGTATTGGGCTCTTCCTGATGCTTCAATCTTTTGGGCTCGGGTGTTGGCGCTTCCAATTGACGCATAGGCTTCTCGATGGTCATCTTCATCTTCTTGCCTTCCACCTCTTCACGCTCCCGGCTCACTGTCTTCTGAGCCGCGCTCCTGGGCGTCGAAGGAGCATGTAAATGTCGATGGTGA